AATGTACTTTTCTAATTTTACCCCATATTGGGATGATCAAATCTTACCCTTCTTCCAAGGTCCAACTCAAAAGCCCATTCAAAAGCCACCACTTCTACTGAGCCTTCCCAGATTCTCTCCCTACTCCTCTCCACCACCATATGCAGGAGCTCACTCACTCTTTCCACCTTGACAGGGTTTATCTGTCACTGTCTCAGATGACATTTAGCAGCAGTAGGTATCTACATATTTATACTAATGTACGAATTCTGCCTTCTCCACTGGCCTGTAAATTCTTTAAGAAAGAGCTCCAAATGAATTCAGCTTTGTATTCCTCATCAAGCACACAAACACCAAACACACATCACACACACACATATGCATGCAGCAACTGCAACACAATACCTTTAACTGCTTGCATACTCGATAACTACTGTAGAAAGAGTGAGAAGGAAGGAATGTGAGTTTACTTTATGGAAAGACAAATGTATTGGAGCAATCAGTTGGGTTTATATAAAAAGTTGAGAGGAATTTTGTTTGGCTACACTAGATAAGCTGACTTCAAAATCAACAACAAACTCTTTTACTATCAATATGATTTTTATCATTTGCTGCAACTTGGTAATTATCTATTTTTAGGTACTAACGTTATTTCTAACCTTCACAGCACTCAGTAAATACCTATTATTATCTTCTACTTTTCAGATGAGGAAAATGAGTCCCAGAGAATTTTAGTAACTTGGCCAAGATCACACAGCTAGTAAAAAGTAGAGCTGGGAGTTGAACCTAGACCTGCCCTACTTCAAAGCCTGTGTTCTTTCTATGAGCACATTTTTAACAAGCACTTTTAAAAATTATTATCTCATTTGTACACAGCACAACTTCAGGGTTGGATTCTGTCCCTCCTGCTGCATCATCCAACTCTATACTCCCACCTTCCTCCTTAGTCACCCCATAACCTAAGACCTTTAGAGGGAAGCCTTAGCATCCAAAAGATAAGCACCTTTTACATTATTTTTAAAATGATGAACCATAAATTTAAATTTTACCTTTGATCAAAATGTACATATGCCAAGTTTTGAGCTTCTTTCTAAACTTTCTGATATTATCTTTCCTTCTCCCATCCCCTTTTGTTCCCCTCACTCTCTTTTTCCTGCTTTTCTCCCTCTATCCCTCTTCCTCCATTTCCTTCTCTTCCTCCCTCTCCATCAACTTCTCTCTCATCCCTGCCTTCTTGGTACCATCAGCTCAGACTTATTTTGCTTTCTGGGTCAACCAATATTGGCAAAGCCCAGAGAGTAGGGGTCCAGGAAATAGAAAAGGCCAGATCCCTACAATATGTGCCTCCCCAGGAGTGGATTATAACAGAAGATTCCTATACTCCTGTTAGGCTTCAATGATGGTTGCCTTGGCTCTTAACTAAGGCACCCTGGTTAGCACATCACTAAGGTTCAATGAAACCACAACATTTAACTCATAAAGCAAATATGCTAACACAAGATTCCTTATTAGGAAACCAAAAACATGCTGTGACCTAAAGGATGCCAAAATGATCTCTCTGTCCCCAGGATCTCTCTCTCTTTTTTTTTTTTTTTAATATTTATTTATTTATTTAAGTTATCGGCAGATACAACATCTTTGTTTGTATGTGGTGCTGAGGGTCGAACCCTGAGCCGCATGCATGCCAGGCCAGCGCGCTACCGCTTGAGCCACATCCCAGCCCCAGGATATCTCTCTTAACAGAGGGTCTTGAAGGAGTTGCAGTCTCTCAGAATACCCTATGAAAAAAACAAACATCCTCAAGAAATTTCCTTTTATACCCCTATGAGATAGTATACTTCAGTAGGGATTTATATTTCCAAAGTGACAGCTATTTAAGAGGAAAGACTTCCTAAGTATAGGAAAAGAAATAAAGTAAGAAGATGACAAATGTCATAAAGGGATAGGAAAGAGTGACAAATTTTGACTTCTTCAGAGTTGTCCTGGGATAGACTCTGTTTCCATTTCATTACCAGGTCCTCTGGATCCTAGTCATATGCATAAATAGATCTTCAGCTTTGCAAAATCCATAGGAATTAAGAACTCCCAGCACCCCAGTGCTGTGTTACTGTGTGTTGTTGATAATGAAGTTTCAATCTGTCCTAAGCACATGATGGGTTAAATTTAAGAAAGTGCTGCAAACTCTAACGCAATCATAGGAATAACATGTTGAACAAAACAGACACCAGGGTGGGACTGCCCCCAAGGGGTAGCTGGGCATTGTTCCAGAGACCCATGGGGTAACGTGTCCTGTTGATTATATTCCAGGGTAAGGAGAAGGAAGGCTAGGAGCCTGAATTGCTTAAAAATGCATCACAGTCAGTTTTGGGGGATGAAGACCCCTGCAGAAATCTAAAAATGTTCAGATTGTACATTTACTAGCAAAATAAAATTATGCTTCATAGTGGAATGTACGAAGTAGAATTTCAACTCATTCAGCCTTTCCCTTCTCTTTCTTCCTAAGCTAACAATCAACATATGTATCTTATTAACATAACTGAGCATGAACATTTCTTATTATTGTGCAGCCTTTTCATATCTGTTAAATGAACATACTTGTCTTTTTTTCCCTGAAATATTCATTTGCCCAGTTAACAAAATTTTATTTACTTAAAATGTTTTCTTAACCATTCTAAGGGCTCCATAAATTCCATCGTGTTGTGAGTGTAAGAAGTAGGATTAAAGTGTGGGGGAAACATGAAGAGAGTTTGGATGTGATTACTTTCCTATTCTTACATGACTAATTCAGGATATTAAAACCACTTTAGGCATCTTGACAAAAGTCAGTATAGCTCTTTCTTTCCACTCAAAAGAGAATAATTCTCGATGTTTAGGCAGTTTGGAACTTGTACCAAAAGACATTGAATTTGGTCTTTGCTGTTTAGTGGAGGGGAGTGGGGGAAGAAAGTTCACTGTGTTTACCCACTGAATAAATATGCCTGTAGGCAAGGCACCATTCAGTGCTTTAGTCAAAGGACTTTTTAAACATCTATCTTGGCTGTTCCACAATCCCCATGTTAATCATCTCATCTTCCTGCTTAGGTACCTCCAGTTCTGATTCTAGAGAATTTTTTGGTAAACTAAATCATCCATAATCCAGCCAGGAAGAAAAGATAAAAGCTCCTAAGGGGTAAAAAAAAATCAATGCTTTAAAATCCATGTGCTATAGATTTATTCATATAAGAGCCCTTGCTCAACTCCTACACAATTCGAGAAAGTTCACCAATCCAGTTTTCTGATTCACTGATGATAAGAAAGAATAAATTATAATGAATTTATTGCTACTACAACTTGTTATTATTACTGTCACTATTATTAAACATTGTTGGGCGTCACTAGCTGCCAAATATTTTTCTAAGCCTTTTACATACATCATTTCACTGCCTTTTTGTGACAACTCTGAAAAGTTAAATACAATTAAAAGCTCCATTTCACAGCCTCATAAACTGAGGTGTAGACTCTAAATTTTAGAGTAGCTAAGTAATTTACCCAGTTTGTGTATACTTGACTTATAGGTAGTGATGTGAAGGGCTATTTGATAGCAAAAGGTTAGCAAAATATAAAGGAATAAGAAAATAAAAGAAGTTGAAAAACATGGCAATTTGTAAGTTTTTATTTGGAGACAGACTGCTTCATATTTCTCAGTAGCTTTCAGAGGGCAACAGAGTATTACAAGAGTGAAACTGGTGGGTTTCTGTAAGTATGACCCCAAACAATTAAAATAGATCAAATTATGTTCAAAATCATCTACTTAATAAGGACAGGTAACATATGCTTTAGATACCTCTCTGATTTCTTCATAAAGTAAACAATAGTGTTTTGGCTTCTCAAAGGGAAGGAAGGCTTCAGAAATCTGAAAAATTAGCATCAACAGAGCACATCATTCCCTGATGATGGGTGGTATTTTTTAATATTTATTTTTTAAGTGTAGATGGACACAATACCATGCCTTTATTTTTATGTGGTGCTGAGGATCGAACCCGGGTCCTGCTCGTGCTAGGTGAGCGCTCTACCACTGAACCACAATCCCAGCCCTGATGGTGGTATTTTTATGCGTGGTACACCTCTAGAAAAGAAAACATTAAAAGGGAGTGAGAGAATAGATTCAAACTGAAAAAGATCTTGACTTCAAGACCTCCACATTCAGGTTCAGCTAGCCCAGGTTGTGAGTTTGTTATGTTTTGGGTTTATTCCATTTCCAGAGTTTATCTCATTATGCTGACCAATGTGGAATTGACCATTTTTAAAGGAGACTTGAGATCATGTTGAAGTTGATATGTGATTTGAAGTGGCCAAATACAACCACCAACCCCACTTCTTACTGAGATGAAAATAACTGCCCCTGAGCCTTGCCTAAAATGGCCACATGGCTCATGCCCAGGGTATAATTGTGATCTGGCATGAGAAAAGAAAGTGAAGTACTAAGCAGGGTCACTTTGCAAGAGGCCAGTCCATAGCAGTCTACCTGGGTGCTGCCTGGAGCTCTAGAGTGGCTCAAGAAAGTCTGAGAACCCTGGGCCAGGATATTCAGAAAGTGCCAGGGGATATGAAAGACTGCCCCAACCAAGTACCCATCAAAAAAGGTGGCCTCCCACATATTCTTACCCTATTAAACCTAGCCTAGGTCTGTCCATGGTAAAGATTCCAAAAAAACATTACAAAGAGGGATCCTAAGACTGAGTAGGTGGGCAGGGGAAGGGGCTGAAGGGCTGCAGGCTGCTCTCTAAGTGGAAATTAAACAAATGGCCCCGTGTGGATAAAGTAAGCGTAGGTTACATGAGACAGACATAAAAAAAATCAAGTCTCAAACCGCTGTGGTCATTCAGAAATGTTTGCAACTTTTCACAAGGGCAGTGGTATTACTCCCAATTTCCTGGCCAAATATTTATTAAGGTAACCAAGGACAGAGTACATGAGGCTGCTTCACATCAGCACAGCATCCTACTTTCCTTGCGGCTCTGAACTGTGAGGTACTGTCAAAAAAACTCTTCCACACTCGAAATAGCTACGTTACAGAGGAGAGTTGGAACGTGTTCTGGGAGTGGGTGTGTTTGTTTGAGTTCAGTGTGTGCAGAAAAGGCAAGCCTCCACAGCCATTCACACACTTCCCTCCTCAGCGATGGGTACGCAGACAGCCGAGCTCCTGCACTAAGTCTCTGAATGGTAATGTACATTTATAAAGATTATTTTCTTAACTATTTTGAGGCATTTTATAAATAATATGCATGTGTCTGCTGAGCGCATATGTGTGTATATATATATGCATATATACATGTATATATATATTTAGTCAACTTTTGCTTGTTTTCTCCTGGGGTTGGTCATGTGTGGTTACTTATGTGGTATGATTTCTGAGGTGTCAGAAAGAGCTGTCCCCTACCTCCTACCCTAGTCACCCAAAAATATCTTTTGGGTTGGCCCACCACAGAGCCTAAAATCCCCTTATTGCTCAAATATTTGATTTAGTCACTGAAAGCAGCTGTTAAAATCCAAGTGTTGCATTGGGATATTAGGCAGACATTTGAAATTAAAGACCATGTAAAACAAAACAATATGGAGAAATTGCTTCTGATATAATGTTAAGAATGCAAAAATGACGTGCAAAGTCTGGGTCAGGTGCTATTCTTAAAATGTAATGGGGCCAGAGCCAGTATCTATGCACCAGTTCATAAACATAAACTTGTGATAAGAGAAACCCAGCACTGTTGGACAGATTTTGTTCTGATTTATGTTGAATGAGTGCTTTCCACAGTTTCTGATCCTCAGCTCCCACTCTCTTCACAGTGTATCTGACACCTCCGCTTGCTGAGCTCCAGAGGCTCCCAGTGACCTCTTGGTAATCAGCCTTGGCGGGTCCCAAATCCCCACCCCTTGGAAAACTCACGGAGCCTGACATCTGCCTGTGAGCGGCTTTCAGAAAAGACCTTACAAGCACCCACCCAATCTCTCTTGGTAGCAAATTGCCAAACCAAGCCCATTTCCTCAAAAGATGGTAGAGGACTTAGCTGCCTCCTATATTGCTCTGAAATTGGAGAACGAAATTCTGCAGGCCCAAGTGCAGCGTCTGATGGAAGAAAATGCTGCCCTCCAGGCCCAGATCCCAGAGCTCCAGAGAGCCTGTGCAGCCAAAGGGGATGAACCCCTCCAAAAGCCCTCCGAGGCCCAGGAGCCACAGAAGCCCCCAGAGCCCCAGGCTCTCCCAGCAACCTGGGGATTCCAAGAGTCCCCAGAGATCCAGGAGCCCCAGGAGTCCCCAGAGGTCCGGGCTCCCCCGGCGTCCTGGGAGTTCCGGGCTCCCCCAGCGATCTCGGGGTTCCGAGAGCTCCCAGAGATCCAGGAGCCCCAGGAGTCCCCAGAGGCACGGGCTCCCCCAGCAACCTGGGGGTTCCAAGAGCCCTCAGAGATCAAGGAGCCCCAGGAGCCCCCAGAGGTCTTGGCTCCCCCAGCAACCTGGGAGTGCGCAGAGCCCCCAGAGACCAAGGAGTCCCAGGAGTCCCCGGAGATCAAGGAACTCCAGAAGTCCCCAGAGCCCTTGGATACCCCAGCAGTCTGGGAACTCCAAGAGCCCTCAGGGAATGAGGAGCCCCAGGGACCCACAGAGCCCCAGGAGCTCACTACCTGGAAGCCCACAGCATTCCATGAGCCCCAGGAGGCCCAGAAGCCCTGGGAGCCCTCAGGCACCCAGGATACCTCAGCGTCCCAGGAGCCCCAGAATTCAGAACCCCGACATCCCCCAAGTGCTGAGGAATCCCAGGAGGCACCACAATGCCAGAAGACCCCAGCACACCTGGAGCTCCTTGAGCTTCCAGCTCCCCAGGAGCCTCTGGAGCCTCGGGTGTCCCAGGAGCCCCTGGATCCTTCAGATACCCAGGAGTTCCTAGAACTCCCAGCACCACCCCAGGAGTCCCTGGAAGGCTTAATAGTGGTGGATACATCAGCCACCTCACAGTTCCCTCAGGCCTCCAGTGGGTTAGAGGTTGCTGCTTTCCCCCTAGAATACCCTTTAGCCTTCAACGGGGATGCCCAGAAGCTTCCTGAGTTCCTGATCCAACTGAGTAGTTACATGAGAGTCAGAGGGCATCTGTATCCCACTGAAGCAGCCCTGGTGAGCTTTATTGGCAATCGCTTCTCAGGTGAGGCAGGAAGGTGGTTTCAGCCCTTGCTGGATATACAAAGCCCCCTGCTGGAGCAATTTGAAAGTTTCTTACAAGTGCTCCTGGATACTTTTGACAATCCAGAAAACCTGGAAGATGCCAACTACCACACCCGTCAGCTGTGCCAAGGGGAGGGATCTCTCCACCAGTATGCAACCCATTTCCACCTTATTGCTCAAGATTTGAACTGGGATGAAAGCACTCTCTGCATCCAATTTCAAGAAGGGCTTGCCAGTTCTATCCTGAATGAGCTGTGTCTCACAAGTTCAGTCACCAGCCTATCTAATCTGATCACTCAATGTATCAGTCTGGAAGAGAAGCTGAGTGGTGAGCCTGATCCTGACCCACCAGGGGCAAGCCCTTCCAAAGATAGAGATAGGCCTGAGAGTCCACCAGCTGAAAATCAGCCTGCGCAAGCTGTGGGTAATCGTCCACACCTCAGTGAAGCTGAACGGGCCCGCCGCCGTGAAGGCCACTTGTGCCTCTACTGTGGCCATCCTGGTCATTTCGCCAGAGATTGCCCTGTCAAGCCACAACGTGCTCAGCAGGCGGGAAACATCGAGGCCCGGCGGTAAGGGGGACCCCGGGCGGGCCAATCTACAAATATGCGTCCCCCTGTCTTCCAATATCCATGTCCCGTACCCTATGGCTGACTGTTGAAATCCGACTGGGAAGGCGACAGTTCTTTGAGCAAGCAATGGTGGATTCAGGCTCCTACAGAAACAGCATTGACCATTCCGTGGTTCTTCGAGAGAAGCTGCCCATCCGCAATAACATCTTTCCTCTGATGCTCGAAACCGTTGATGGACGTCCGTTGATTAATGGACCCATAACCAAGGAAACACCACCTGTTGAAGTCAAAATTGGAAACCATGTTGAAGAGCTCCAGTTTGACATTATTCATGCTCCGAGGTACCCTCTGATTCTTGGAATCCACTGGCTGGAAACACACGACCCAAACATCGAGTGGAGTACCCGCACTGTGTCCTTTCCATCACGTTATTGTCACTACAATTGCTTCAGGCACAGATGGAATAGAAGACGTCGTGATGAAATAATTGCTGGGTAGATCCTGGGTCCTAGTGACTTCTGGAAACCTGTCTTCTGTTACCTCAGCTGTCATCAGCATTTGCTGCTCTGAATCTTCCACTGAACCTCTGGCTATGAACTAAGGCTACCTGTACAACGACCCTGCCTCTTGGATCATGGATTGAACCTGACGACTTTGAGCTGCTTTTTTCTTTTTTTCATTTACCTTGCATGAATTCCCTTCCCCCCCAACCCCTACATTATGTGGGGCTATTTCAATTACAATTTATACTAACAATATGCATGAGAATAGATATTAGAAACTAATACTGAAAATCGTAGCTGTTAGATCCACTTAATTTTTTTTCTTATCAATTTTCTTTAGCATAAAATTGCATTTTTCAATAAAATTCATTTACAAGTGATATTTTTAAAAGAATCAATAAACATTGGCAATTTCTACCCTTGTTTGAATTATTTCTTGGCTTAGCTGAGGGAGGGGGATAAGGGAATGGTGGAGGGAGAGAGGGAATTGGAAAGGGCTCAAAGTTTGGGTGGGGTCCTGAACATTCCAGGAGTAGTAACAGGTAATGAGGTGATAAAGTAGGGGGAGATGTAGATATTAGGGAAGGGTTGGGGCTGGGATTGGGTGAGGTTTGGAGGGATTAAGAGGAAAGTGGAGGTGAGTTTCAGAAGAAGGTTTGGGGAGGGACTGGGAGGAAATGGTTTAGGGGAAGGCTGCTGGATGGAGAGGGAAGGGGTGGGGGAGAAAATTCTTACAATTAAAAGGAGCAATGACAGACATTGAGAAACTTTGAAGATAAGCATCTTGGACTTCACAAATTAACCAAAGAAGAGCAATGGAACAGGTAATCATAGCCCCTTGGTGACCCAGCCCTCCCTGTAAATTGTTAAGGTCTTATTTCCTATATCAGGGAAATTTGCCCTAGAACTTGTCCCTAATAATCTGCTCTTACCAGTGCACAGGAGCAACAGTGTGGCAGGAATCAGCTTTTTACACAAGCAGATTGTTATTAGCTACCTCTCCTATGCTTTCAGATTGTCCTGCCCTGCTAGCCATGCTGCCTGCATGACACACCCATAAAGCAACTTAAGAGAAAAGAACTTATACACTTGTGGACCTGAGAGGGAGCTAGTGCCCTGGCTTAAATCCCCCCACCACACACACACTACAGGGTCCAGGGGATGGAGAGAGTGGGACTCCAGGTGCAATGTGAAGAAAGATAAAAGCAGTTCCTAATCATTTTCCTGCATGCTTGCAACCTTCCTTTGAAACCCTTTGAATGGGATTCTTCCTTTTACTTAGACAATTATCAAATAAATGAGCATAATACTAGAAGTACACAGGGGAGGAATTTACCATTCATTGAGTGCCTAATATGCTCCAGTTACAATGTCAGGCATTTACCAACACAATATATCTCATCCCTACTCAGAACAATTCAGTGAAGTAAGTATGTTTGTTCCTATTTGACCAAAAAGCAGAGTCCTAGCTAGTCCTAGTCCTAGTTCAGTTGCCCAAATTTAGACAGTAAGTGTGCCCTTTCACTTACAGCCACCAGCATCCCCCAGTGGTGAGGGCTTAAGGAGATTGTGGCAGCAGGAAGCTAATTAGGACAATTCCCAAAAGGAGGAAAAACTCAGAAGGAAAACTTCAGGGACCATTTGGGTAGTAATTCCATTTCCCAGATTCCCTTGATTTCATCCCCAGACCCCTCCTCAACTCCTAAACTTCTTTTTTCATCTGTGGATTTCCTTTTGTGTTTTAACTAATGGCACAACCTCATTTCAGATTCCATGGTAGTTTTCATGACAGGTTGAAGATCCGGGAAAAATTACCTGCAGGATTCATGCCTTACTTAGCAGCACCACCTCCTCAAATTCTCTGCCTAGCCACTTCCATAACCAATCTAAATTTTGTGCAGCCCTAAATTTCACCTCACTGGCCTCCTCTTCCTTTCCTTAACAGTCTAACATGTTTGGGCATTATAGGAGCCTTGTGGTATGTGGGCCCTTCCCCAGGTGTGCATCCTATAACCCTCCCACTTACCCCCAGACATACTTAGCCTGCGTACAGGGACAGAATCATTTGCATCCCAAACCTTGATAGCATAGCCTAACATACTTCCTGGTACATAAAATCCGTCTTCATAGCAACTGATTCAATGACATTTAATTATCATTACCCAGAGAAATAGGCTTATTTGTATGCTATGGGTTTGTCTGCTTTTTTTTTTATGTTATTTAGTTGTTAACCCCTACTCCCAGGACCAAACACTATTTGTCAAAGTAGAATTCAAGAGAAAGAGAAAAAAATCTTTAAACAGACACAAAGAAAAAAAAGAAACCTTTTATTAGTCAAACCGTTCTACAGTTAAAAACACTAACTGTGTTTGATTTCCTCAGCCTGAGAGGATTCAAGAAACACAGTTCTCTATGTTCAAACTGGAACGATTTTAGTCAAATTGAGATTGTTAGTTAATAAACCTGGACATGACATTTTTTTCTATCTGGATATACAGGCTTATTTAACTAAAGTGCAATTCTTTATTTCACAATAAGGATAAATTATCTAACCATAGAATCACAGACCTTGTGAGCTGGAAAAGATTCAAGAAGACTAAACCCTTAATTTTACAGAGGAAGCTGTTAAGGAATCCCAGAGAAAGAAAACTTAACATGGCTCAATGTTAACTTGATCTCCTGACCCCAAATCCAATGCTCTCCCTTCACCATCAACCCCTACTCTAATCTAATAGATAAAAATTGAGTGTGTGGCCAGCACTGATCTAGGTACTCTCAACAGTTTTTAAATTACAACACGAGAGGGTTACAATGTGGTTAGGAGGGTTAAAAAAAAAAAAAACAGCAAGCATTATATAGCTAGCATGGATATCCAAATGCTAAATTCTTCTTTTTTGGGGGGAAGGGGTACTAGGGATTAAGCCCAGGAGCGGTCAACTACTAAGCTACACCCCCAGCCCTTTTTAAAAATTTTTATCTTAAGACAGGTCCAGCTAAATTGCTGAGATTGACCTGAAACTTGCGATCCTCCTGCCTTAGCCTCTCAAGTCTCTGGGACTACAGGTGTGTGCCACCATGAATGGATAAAATAAAAATTCTTTGGTGGCAATAAATATAACAAATTGAAACTAAAACATGCTAGCTGATAAAGTTAACAACTTCCACATAACTTGCTTTTTGTCAGACATCATGTTGAGTGATAGGAGTCTTTTCAATTATCCACAATGTAAATATTATTAGCTCCTTCATAAAAATGAAAGAATTGAAGCCTACTAAATTGGGGTCACTTGCCAGGGGCCATGCTGCTAGAAAATGGTGGATCTTTAAAATAAACCCTAATCTGTATCACTCCAAATATGGAGTTCTATCCAATTTTACTACACAGCTTCTCAGAATAAATGATCATTACGCTTTAATAAACACCTTAATAATATTGATTCACTAGACATGAGTTCTATTGCCCTACAAAAAAATTATCAGTTGATTAAATCAGTCATTAATTCATTCATTCAAAAAGAATTTACTGAATGCCTGCTATGCATCAGGCATAGGGATGGGGGGAAAGGAAAGAAAAGGAAGAGGAAGAGAGTTACAACTATATATAAAATATGAATCATTATTCTTGTTTTGACTACAATTTAACTGAGGAAACTTTTGTGTAGCATAGTAGCATCATGTCCAGAGGAAAGAACACTAATTCTCCTGTGGACTGAAGAAGTACATTTTGAAATGGGTCTTGAAGGAACTTCATTGGAAACAAGACACCACCGGGCAGGAATTTCTAAGCTGAGTAAAGTGCAAACGAAAAAGCAAGCTGGAAGAAAAATGTTCTGTGTTTTCAGAAAAATAGTTCCTGTCACTCCAAAGTAAGGGTGTGTGTGTGTGTGTGTGTGTGTGTGTGTGTGTGTGTGTGTGTGTGTGTTGTGGGTGTAGGTGGGGAGATAAAGCTTAACAAAGAGGTTGGAAGTCTCAGAAACTGAAGACTTACCTACGTGGCTAAGGAGCTCAAATTTTATGTCCTGGGCAATTTGGACTAGAATCTTTTTCTTTTTTTGATTTTAGATGTGGGTATATTTTACTCTTCTGCTGTAAGTTGATGCATACTTAGTGCAACAAATTTATATGTCAGGAATTGATAACATAAAAAATAAAAGTTTTCCCTTTCTCCTTGTCCTGTCTTACAAGGTAAGGGTTAAGTAGGAGAAAAACATGCTTAGTGTTTATTTTTAGTAATTTGATAGGGGTATGGAAAATATCAAGAGAAAATGTGACAAAGTACTCCCAGTTTTTTACTGTCTTAGATTTTATGCAGATGGGATCAAACCATCAAGGTAAAGAGTTAAACATAAATTAAGTTTAATTTTTCTCAAATATTTATTTTGAAGAATTATTGTGAACAAGGCTTTGAGGTACACACAGACAAATAAAGGATAATGATGTCCTTAACACGAATTTTATAGTATAATAATTGACAAAGATTCATAAATGATAAAAACTACCTTTTCATTTGGTTCCTTTCAGTTCCAAATTTTAAAGACTCTCTATGTGAAGAGGTCTTTTTTAAAAAAAATAAAATAAATATTCTGCAATATTTGGCACAGCAGAAAAGAAAACAGTTCCCTCTTTAGCTAACTTTTCTAAGTTTAAACTTTAAAAAGAAAATGATCTCTCTATATTTTTTAACCTCTCTTGGGTTTGTTTTTTTAAAAAATATTTCATATATCATACTATTAAAGTATTCCTCGAGTAGTCATGGTCACTCCATGGGAGGATTTATTTGTGTTCCAGTTCTTAAAATACCTGTATATTGCTAAAAGTATGTTTTAAAAGGTTTTGTAGGAATAAATAATTTAAAAGATTATTCATGTAGTAATCTTTGTTGTTTTTAAGTTATTAGATATGTATTAATCTAGTAACAGTAGATATCAAAGATTACATAATAAGAGCAATACAGGGGTAGGAGATTAGTATCAAACTCCTGTATTTGCCATTTCCTAGCTGTATGACATTTTATTTATTAGCTAGATATGGATGACCTATTTCTTTTATTAGAAGATAATAATACTTGCTTTTTGTATCCAAAGAAGTTAGAGAAAGCATCAAATGAGAAAACTCATGTTACAAAAACATTATGAAAGTTGAAAATGCTATATATATAAAAGGTTTTATCATAATATCTTGTGTTCATAATAATGAACCCAAGAACCTTCAAGGACCAAAACTTAAATTTAAATGTATTTTAATTTCACAGATTTTTTTCTCTAGTAAGCAGTGCTTTTATGCTAGGATTGTATGGGCAATCTAAGCAAAATTCAGTTAAGTTTGATGTAATTATTGTATTAAGCAATTTTTATAGCATTCTTAAAATAAAAGCTTTCACACACACACACACACACACACACACACACACATATA